GCCTCAGCAAGGTCCAGGAACTCCTGGCAAGTCCCAGTGTCCGAGTGGCTTAGGCTTTAGGGTTTAGGGTTTAGGGTTTAGGGTTTAGGGTTGAGTGGGCCTTGCTGGAAAGGCCTCTTTTTTTGCGCTCCCAGTCCTGCCGGCTACTGAGCGTAAACTCCACCTTTTTCTGTGGACCCGCTCCAAGATCCAGCTCCAGAGGCTTCCCTCTGAAGAAGAAGATCCTGAAGCTTCGAGACAGGGCCGGTCGCAAGTGTTCCAAATCTCTGCAGAGTGGACAAAAAATGTCATGGATCTCAGAGCTTCCTTTAGAAGGCCAGGCTGCAGCTGGGCAGGCGATGTCAACTGAAACTCTGAGATGCACTCTGGCACCTCACGAACATCCACGGCCTCGGCGCTCTGTGCCGACAGACTGGGACAGAAAAGCTCTCATGCGACCGAGTTTCGTAGATGCTGCAACCGGGTTCCACCGCCTGCGCCGCAGATGACAACACCTGCCAGAGTGTCGGGATTCTAGGTTCGATACCGGCATGGAACAAATTGCACCTCGTCCATCTTCATGCACTCGGGCGAAAAGTCTTGCCCGAATCGCAGGCAAACAACTTTGGACTGCTCACCAAGCACGGCCTGAAAAAACAATCCGCTCGAAGTCTGCAAGGCCACCCAAAGAGTCACACCGGCACGTGCCGGCATTGCAGAACACCAGGCCTGCTCGACTAGGTACGTGCTGCTCAGACGTTGCAATGGCGTAGCCATGGCAGTGTCGCACGCAAATCTGCCAAAAGAATTCGAAACACGATTCTCCAAACACATCGACGCTTACGTTAGCGGCTTTATGCATAGTCGGTTGCAATCTGCTCTGGCTGAGGGTGCACCGAACAGTGTGTTCCACAAACAGCACATGTGAAACGAATGGCATTCGTATCGCGATATCGCTCCACCGCTCCAGCTCAGAGCCAAAAGAAGAAAATTCGCCAAACAAGCCTTCGTTTGACAGCCGACTTCACCACCCGATGCAGGTGCCTCGCATGCACGTGAAGCAGGAGCAGCGGCCGCATGCAAGACTTCCTGCAATGTCAACACAAGGCTGGCTGCCGGCATGCTGTTTAACCATGCAGGTCAAAATTTACAATCAACAATTCGTTGCACACATTGATTCTCTCGAACTGAAAGCACAAGAAGCTAGCAAATGCTCTCAGATTCGGAGTTCCAGCTTGCTCTCAAAAGGCCAAACCTCTCACTTCGAACGTCCTTCTGAACGCCTGTGCTTGATTGATTGATTGATTGATTGATTGACTGCCTGTGGATGCGAACGCTTTTGATGAAGACGTGAGATAGATCTTGCTTCGGGAAGAATCCACCAAGTCTGCATGGACGGTTGTTGCACTCATCCGCTTGCTCCTTCGGACTTGCCGCGTGCGAGTCCGTATCGAGCTTAGCACTGAAGTCTACTACTCCGAGAATGGTTATCTTTTTGTTGTCAGTACTACCTGTCGACTTCGTTTTAAGTCGCCCTCGTGCAAACCATGCACTTTATTTATGCCATGCTCCCTGGAGCCTGCGTAGCAGCAGGCGGCCAGACAGCCGGGTTGATCACCTCGAGGCTCACAAGGCAAAGCCTGAAAGGAAGTTGCGCAGTCTCCCCGCCTGACTCGTCCAGAGTGATCATGTCAACAAGCTTTTCAAGCCCACGGCGACCTGGCGAGGAGAACCCTTTGAGGAAATCTTGGGTCAACACGCCGGGAGTCCGCCAAGTTGGCTTCCTCATCTGAGACCGGCTCCAAGGCCAGGTACCGCCTGCAAGTCTTCGAGTGACTCGAACCTCCCATTTTCTTCTCGGTAGGCCACCTGAGCACTGGAGCTTAGACCGCTCCGCCCTGCAGCTGAACCTTGCTTGCCAAGAAGAAGCTGCCTAGAAGACTGCATCTAAGGTCCCCTGCAATGCTCTCCGCCTTTCTCCTGTTGCTGCCGTGCAACATTGAAAACAAGCATGGCGTGCAGCAAGAAACAGACGGCAAATCGCACACTTCGCGGGGATCCTTCCGATACCCGGCAAGGCCATGAGATCTTCAACAGTGGCTTCATTGATGTTCAGGAGCCCTCGATGGTGACAGATGCATGGCATGGCCCGGGTTAGAGAGGTCTGGATAATTGCGGTATCCGAGGCTGAGGCCCGTTCCTGTACTCGAGGAGGAGTCAGACCTTGATAACGTGCATGTCTCAACTCGCCTAGGGCACCCAAAAGGACCCCCCGTTGGGGTCTTGCCGTGGACAGTGTCCGAGATATGCTGAGATTCCGGCTCTTCGGAGTCTGCCATAGAAGAAAACTGGCAACATGAGGCATTGCAACAGCCCATGCCACCGAATAAACGGTGCCAGGAAGTGTAGCGCCAGCTTTGGACGCACTGTTTAAGCTTGAGCCTCCACTCCTAGCAAAAGGGGCAAGTTCGCCCAAGCTAGCCCAAGCATAGCGCGAAGTGTCAGATGGCGCAGATTGCAGCAAAGTGCAGCACAGGACGGCATCCAATGGGAAATACTTGCGGGACCTGCATGACGTGACACAGGTTAGTGTGTGAGACGCCTACTCATGCTACATGCATGCTACATGTTTAACATCTGCATTGCATGTGCAATGGAAAATGCCGGTGATAGCCGACGGATACGTTATCAAACGGAAGCAGCTGGTAGCACCTGAGCCCATCTAGGCTCACCTGCTGGCTGCAGAGAGCATCTTCTGCTGCAGTGACTTTCACTTTCGAATTTCGTATCACTTTTGAGACACGCGAGCTAAGAATACATGCTAGAACTGCCTCAACACGGGCTTGGAATTTAGTCAAGGGCAGCATATGCGGCATCTTTGATCAAGATTGCACGAGCCATCTTCGCACTTCGCTTAGCACAAGTACTCGGTACAAAAAAAACTCACCAACTGCTGCCCATTGTAGAGAAGAAATCACATCCCCTCACATCGGCCCTCACTTTTTGGGGGACCTCTGCAAGAGCTAAAGCCGAGAGCAGAGCGCCTGAACACAAAACTCAGAGCCTTCCAAACACGAGCCTGCGTGCCATAGCTGCCTTTGACTGGTAGCTGGACTGGGCTTGGTGCGCCATGTCTCTCCTTACAGCTCAAACTGCGCATGAAACCCAGGCATTCCCAACACGCTCTCCTCACTTGTGCCGTGGATAACAATCCGCCTTAGCAATGCGTCCTAGAAGCAAGGACGGCGAAGTTGGTGGGGGTCGCGTGCCGTGGGTCCTCGTCCAAAGGTCTTGTTGCGGAGGACGCATGCCTCAGACATGTTGGAAGATCTGAAGCATTCTGAAGCTACAAAATGTCACAACGGCACAACAGGGCTGCGGCTTCTGAGGCCCGGGTTGATGTCCATGCCAACTGGAGAAGTCGGAGCCTTAAAGATTGAAGGCTCCACCAACGATCCAAGTCACCGTTTACGTAAGCAGTTGCAATGAAACTCGGGCGAGTGTGTGTGACACCTAATCCTCGGTGCAGGGCTGCACTCTTTGGTTGTTGTCTCGGCTGTGTGGCTATCGTCGTTACCGATCTCCTCAGCAGTCACAAGGCCACAATGAATCTCCAGATTAGCCTGGTGTGGGCTGTGCTGATGCACACTTTAGGACACAGCCGAGACTCATGGATGTTGCCTTCGAAGGGCCACGACTGGCTGTAAGTATATCATCAGTATCGACCATCTCTCGGCTGAAATCGAAGCCGTCCTGTGACGGGTCAAGTCGCTCTCTGAGCTCACACGAAAGCTTGACAGAACTTGTCTGTCCTCGAGCATCACAGTGCGGGCTCGGCTGGACGGTTGTGGCGTCGAGAAGTCACGATGCGAGCGTTGCAATCCAGGACTCAGGGGTTCATGAACTCGTGCTCAGCTCAACAAGTCTGGAACGAAGCCCTAGCAACAGTAACATCAACAACAACAAGAACATACAAGAACGAAAGGTATAGTAGTTGTGGAATGTTCAATCGAGGGCCTGGTCAATGCCAGCTGCATTGGCAGCTCAGAGGCCTGATCCTCTTCAGACACAACCGCGCCGACTTCATCGCCTCGAAAGCGAGGCTTGAAAGGGCTGTCAAAGATATCTAGCTCTAACACAATCCCAACATTGAACAACCATTGGCTGCACTTCGAATTCAGGCAGTGAAACCGACACGGCCTCGCGGCGGCTGCATCTCTTCCTTTGAACCTGGTCACGCATTGTCATATCCCGAGCATCTAAGCTGTCTGGAACCCAAAGGAATGGCAGGCTGGGAAGACGTGACAGCCAGGCCTGCCGCATCCGTGATGCTTTCCTGGACACGGTCGTGCTCGAGGGCACCTGCCATTACTGCGCAACACAGTCGACCGACGGTCAGAGCAGTGCTTGAGCCCTCCACTCTCTTCAAGTGGCTCTGGCATGCTTGTGTCCGGCAAGTCCGGCTGCTCTGCCTTGCAAACCAGGAATCTGAACATGTTTCGCTTGCCAGCTGGGGGCTAAGGCAACCCGACCCTGACAGAGGGCGTCACGTCTTCCACGTTTCGAAGAGCATGCATGGCGGCCGAATCCACATCAGCATGATGAGCCTGCGGGACTCGGGATGTAATGGGAAACTGCCGCAAATTTGGTTCCGCTGCCTCCACCTCTGACATCTCCTGACCCTTGGAGAAAGCCTATCGGGTACATGCCAGAACATGTTTTCGAGATTCTGACAACAGTCCACGGCCTGATGAACAGATTCTTCGTCTTCCACCAACATCGGTGTTGACGTTGCATCCCATACCGGGAGTGCCTCTGAGCCCTTTGTAGTTCCTCGACCTCCCAATGCAACACACAGCAGGAACCATGAAGGACCATGCGCACTAAGCCCAATGCCCTATGCCAGACAAAAGAAACACTCTCATTTCACCCCAGACCTGAGATTGACCGCTCTTCTATCTGCAGGAGGTTGCTGTCATGACTCCCAGGACGGTCGAGCTCTGCAAGATCGGCATCAGACGCATCGGCGGGGTCCAAAGCTTCTTGCTCTTGGGCCGCTGCGACTTCCTTCACGTATTCAATGGCACTTCCACCTGCAGCAGCAATTTGTAGATACCTGTTCAGCTTGTCCTGACGGTCGGGTTCGGGAGGTGCTGGTGGCAGCTCCTCTTCTTCAAACTGCGCCCACTCTTCCATACAAGCTGCACGTTTCTGATCGAAGAACTCCATGTCATCTTCGCCCATCGCCTCTCGTCTTCTGATCTCCTTCTGCAGAGCCCGGCGTAACACCACCTCTTCCAAGATACTCCCAACAGCCACACCGATCCATACTGCAGTGAAGGCACCGAAGAGCATGTTCCAAGGACAGAGAAGGCAAGCAGCCAGGATGCAGGAAAAGAAGCCTAGAAGTTGGGGAGGGCTGCCAAGCAACCTGTGCACCGTCAATGCAGACACATTTGCCAGAACAATCCCCGATCCAGTCACCACAAACTGATTTTCGATGGCAGTCAACGAAGGGAGGTCAGACAGAAGAAAGTCGCGCAGCACAACTGACACCAAAGTGCACGTCGGGATAGCAGTGAGGCCGGGAAAGAACTGAATCGTCCTGAGAACTATCCATGTAGGAGAGTCTCTCCAGTTATATGGCGGATCTACACTCTGCTTGATAACGGGAGGCAGGTTCTCGACTAGGACCAGTCGGAAAGTGATGAGTTGGATCGCAACAGCAAAGACGCCAAGCCCCACGCTTCCGCGAAAGCCCCAGCGGCTCCCCAAGCTCTTCTGGAACTCAAAGGCGTCCTCCACCCCGGCTTCGGCCGCTAAGCCAGCCTCGCCAGCATAGATTGCGACAACTCCAAGCGCTCCACCCGAGATCAGGGAGTACAGCAGCTTCATGAGTAGCTGAAACATGCTTCTTGAGGGTGGGTCATCGATGTCTGGAGATGGTCGCTCGAGTATGACGTTAACCAACAACGTCAAAAGACTAAAGACATACCCAACACAAGAGCCCAGAGTAACCGCGTAGGCTGCTGAGCCCCAGCCGGCAGCAAGAACACTTCCAGAAATAAGTGTTGACGCCACAGCCCCAGACAGCGTTTGCCCTGTGATCGTTCGTGGTACCTCGTGTTCACGGGTCACGATCCCTTCGGCTCGGCTGAGAGCGAAGTAGACACCGCCCAGGCCATAACTCAGCGCTGACGGCACCAGCTTCTCCAGGGACGCCTTCACAAAAGACAGGGTGAAACCTGCCAAAATCACCCTGGTGCCCTGGTCAACCAAGTTCTGCTCTGTGAGGGTGAAGGTCCCCAGCATCAGATACACCAAAGTCGTGACACTGGTCACGCGGCGCAGAAGCGGAACACCATACTCAATGGAATATGCCAGCGCCTCCGCCAGGAGCAAATACGCTTTGATGATCAGGTTCTTGGAGCCACGTGCAGCATATCGATCTAGCTTGCGGATCTTCAAACAAGACATCTTGTTCCCAATGTAGATCAACGGTGGATCATTGAGATACTCGCACGCTTTGGCCACGACAGCTCCATATGGAACGATCTGGACCGCTGCACTAACGGTGCGTCCTGTCGCTGTCATCATCAGCTCATACTTCACATGGATCTTATCACACACCTTGCAGGCCTGCGGATCACGAAGCTCCATGGAGTACACGTGCGCCCGCTCTCGCACCAAGTATGCGTCAATGTTCCACGGATCCCACCAGACTCCGAACAAGGTCGGCAATGCGGCGCCGAAGACGTCAAAGCGAAACATTCCGCCTTCTTCGCCAGTCCCATCGGGGTCTAAGGCAGCCAGATCTATCCCGAGGAATCGCGCGACTCGCTCAGTGATGTAATCCTGCCCAACGAAATGGCCGTTCACGCAGAGGAAGACGAAGATCAAACCAACGATGGAAGAACCCGACAGTAGCACACGGCCCACAAAGATGGCAAGGGTGTCATCGTATCCACAGACCCAAGAGGATTCTACAAACGGGTTTGCAAAGGCAAGGGCGCGTGTAAAGAGGACCATGGTCATCTGCACGGCCGCGAAGGAAGCTCCCAGGCAGAGCAAGATGAGAGATTGGGCCATGATCCTGGGTTCTTGTAAATTACCACAATCGGGTCTTTCGTAAATAATATGGTTTCCGCAATAGTTTTCAACTAAAACGATATATTCATCAACAAGAGCCCAGGATCCGCTGGCACTCTGGCCGAGTCGCCTTTACGACCTGCCGGGCGGCGACGAAGAGGCCGAACAGGTCGTAGTTTAGCCACTGGGAGGCGCCATAAAGGATCATGACCAGCGCAACCGACCCCACCAGCGCAGTGGAACCTTCACAAAGTGGTATGCCAACCAAGTTGCCAAGAAGCAGAGAGAT